TATATATATATATATATATATATATATATGTACTGTATGATCACAAGCATTAATGCCGATTTTTTTTTTACCCTTGAAATTTAAAATTGTAATTTTAAGATAATTTGCATTGATGTTCTCAAACTTTCCCATTTCATCCCAATAAAGTAAGTAACGGCAAACAGCAGCAGGAGCAAACATGAAATATGTGCTGGAGCAGTAGATAATAGCGCTACGGGAGCCCAGATGAATAATCATTATTTTGAAAATAGAGCCATTCATCTCATGTGATGGTAGTTTGCACCATGATAACAAAAGGCAGCAGGAATGGATGCTTGCAGGCAGCCAGGGGGATGGCTCTGAATGGCAGACAGATGTACACATGGAGCAGCCAGCAGCCTCCCTGCCAGATCTCCATCTCACAAGATGCACACTTGGCATGGGAACAATGTGAAACGCATGAAGAGAGGGGCAGACGGAGGAGAAAGGAGAAACACTCAAAAGAGAAGACATACTCTGCAGTGATTTGAGTGACGAGTGGCAAGGAGGTGAAGCCTGATCCCAGGAAGGAATCTCTGTATTGGCTCATTTTAAGTGCGGCCAGCCAGTCCTCCACAGAGCTCAACCGGCTCAGATCTGGAGCACCACGATCTAACAAAGGATGATGGGAAGGACTGGCAGAGGAGAGATGTGAAGGTATCAGAAAAGACATTTTAGGAGCCATTTCAACCGTTTCATACGTCCTTTGAATTTCTCCTCACCCTGGCGCAACATTGTTGGTGCCGGCTTTCAGGGATGCGGGATTGCGTATCATTTTGTCCAACATGTTGACGACATCGGGGAACTTTGGGCGAGCGTTCCTGTCTTTTTGCCAGCAGTCCAGCATCAGCTGATGGAGAACTGTTGGACAGTCCATGGGAGCTGGCAGTCGGAAGTCCTGCTCAATGGCGTTGATAACCTAGGAAATTGGAAATTTAGACAGTATCTCAGTGTTCACTTCTACTTGCTGCAGCTTCTTTAATGCTCACTATAATATGAATACTAAAATAATATGGGGGACCACAACAGAGGACTGCAAGTGTAATTCTGACAGGTTTAATAATACAAGAAATAGCGAAAGACACTAAGTGTCATACAAAAATGCCATGGTGCTCACCACCTGAGCTCAACAACAACCTAAATTACATCTTAAATATATAAAGGTGAACTCAAGTCAAATATTTTCTTGACAATGATGAACACCATGTGCCACTTGTAGTCTAAACATAGTATTCTGATTAATATTTTGATTGTGGAATATGATTTACCGTAATTTCCAAACCGCAAAATGCAACAGATTAAAAGCTGCAACAGCTCCATTGAAAAATTTTGCAAAGCACCACACAATCATCTTAAAATGGAAAGATTATGAAACCACTGCAAACTAGGGATGCTTCAATTGATTGGTGGCCGGTACTTCGGTTGATATTCGTGAAAAGTGCCTGATGGGTGTATCCGATCAAAGCCTCTGCAGGCCGATCTATCACCTTTTGTACATAATTGTTCTGGTAAGGGAGTGACATATTTTTCTCCTAAATGTTTCACAATTAGAACAATTACTTGTATCTAATTGGGAATGTCTCCATTGTGAGACGAATAAAGGTTTTTCTTGTTCTTATTAAACTTCAGTTATTAGTACTGCATTCCATCTTTTTTTAAATTCAGCAATGCACATTACTAGAGGAATTGACATGGATGTCGCTATTTCACACACAACTTAAACTTACGGGTTGTTTAAAAAAATACTGTGACAAATGTTAGCATTTGGAATCACACACAGTTAAATAGTGGGAGCAAAAAGACACATATATGATAAGGATTAATGTCCTTACAACTTCATTAATTAAATACAGTGCACCACACAATGCACTCTGGGAACTGAGTGGCGAGATCATATGGCACGCCTGTGCAGTACCGTATAGGCCCGAATATAAGACGGTGTTTTTTGCATTGAAATAAGACTGAAAAGTGCGGGTCGTCTTACATTCGGGGTCTAGACATTATACCCATTCACGACGCTAGATGGCGCCAGATATCATTGAAGCAAATGCTGAACTTGACTCCCCAGGCCAAAGTGAACCCCTGTCACAAAGAATAAAAATAAAAATAGCGGTAGCACGAAAAAGAAAAATAAAAAATATCGGTAAGAAAGAAAAGAGAAGAAAATAATAGAAGAGACAACAGAAAATGGAGAAATGTAGCGACAATCTGGAGAAAAATGGGTCGAAGATCGGCCAGGTTAACTGGCAGCTGAGGAGAAGTTATGATGTAATTTACATTTCAAAAACCAGAAGCCATTCATTTACAAATGTGATTGCACTTTAGTTTACATATTTAAATGTTCAGATATTAAGATTTGAATGAGGCAAAATAACATGCTTTTTCTCTCAAATATATTGTTATAATCATTTGTTTCAGATGTACTGTAATTATTTTCTGTATAAAAATTAATTGGGTGTTCAAAAAGTCTTTTTTCAAACTTGAGTCTTGAAAAAGAGGGGGTCGTCTTATAATCAGGCCCGTCTTATATTCGGGCCAATACGGTATTTCCGCGTTATGTTCATCGGCATCACAAAAACAAAAGGAAAAAAATAAATAAAGATGTATGATCTGCATTGACAGCACAAGTTTTGGCGCTGATAAAAAAAAATAAAAAATCTTCCTCTTTGAGCAAATATTGAGCAAGTTATGGCTTATTTTCTATGCCCATGCATTGGGTTTGCCTTCTATGGGAACAAGCGTTACTGCCGGGAGAGGGCTAGCTTTAGAATTAGTATTTCGCTTCGTTGCGCTAAGTGCAGCCGTTGGAAACCAGGAATGGTTGCAAAAAGTTTCAGAATGGGTGGGGTTGCCGTTTGGACTTGTCTGGATTTCTTGACATTCAAGTTTGAATGCTGCAGTAATCTCAATAGTCAGTTTTACATCTATTTATTCATGTATTTACAGTATTACTGAACATCATGATACGATGTCACGTCCAATTTCTTCTTACAATCTACAATGGAATGGGTCAAAACTAAACATTTCCAGGTGTTAGAGTAGCCAGGTCAAAGTCCAGACTTGAATCCAATTGTGAATCTGCGGAAACATTTGAAACCTGTTTTATCAAATGCTCTCCATCCCAAGCTTTTTTTGCAAGGAAGAATGGCCAAAAATATCCGTTTCTAGATGTACCAAACTGATAGAGACAGACCCTCAAAACTTGCAGCTGTATTCACAGCAGAAGGTGATTCTAAAATGTGTTACTTGGGATGGTCCAGGGGTGTTTGGATTATTCAGCACACCCCATTTTTCAGTTATTTTTTAATTACAAAAAAAGGTTAAAATATCGTATGACTTTCATTCCACTTCATAATTGTGTCCCACTTGGTGTTCATTCTTCACCAAAATTTACTATTTTAGATCTGCATGTTTGAAGCCTGAAATGTGGCAAAAGGTCAAAAAGTTCAAGAGGGGCTGAAAACCTTCGCAAGACACTGTAAATATCACTTCAGAAACTCGGATGTCTGAAGAGATTTCCATTTCCATGTGGGAATTTCATGCTGCTACCGTTTGCAATCACATAGGAAATCAAAATATTCATCTCCAAGTCGTAGTGGCGCCTGCTCTGATGTTGAGTAAGTATCAGAGCTTTGAATGGAAAGACTCTTGATTTCATTACCGGTTGTAGGTTTTGAAGTAGTCAAGGGCATTTGGGATTTTGGGGGCATCAACAATACAATATCAAGTGTATACACAAATATTTATTTGGACTGTCGCCTCTTTGTTAAATCTTTGACCTGGAAAACCGTGTTTTATCTCTGCCTATTTTCAGCCAAGCGTCCTTGACAGCGTTTGCCTTTAACTTCACGCTGTCTTTCATGCCTTTAAGAAAACAGAAGTGAGAACGCTTGAAATGATACATCATGCTCTTTTTTTTTTTGCCGCTTGAATGGAGAATTCTAAGGCAGTGTCAAAATACTTGTAAGACGACCGCGTGGCACGCTGAGGGAATGACATGCTGCACCGACTGGAAATGCTGCAGCTGGAATTTGCGCTCTGGATGAACTCCGCTTGACCCTGAACGTTTCTTAAGATTTGTGCTGGAAAAAAAAAAATCTTTCAAAGCGTTGCTGTCAATCAAAACAGCAGCAAGTGTAGTGAAACTTCACAGGTCTGTGGTTTCATGATTTATTCATGTTGAACACAGCACCTGTGGTAAACCCACTGACAATTTCAATTCGGTCCCGTCATTCTGAAAAGATTTTGGGGCGTGTGAGCTGGATATATGTGCAGCTTCCTGCATGTGTGTGAGTACTGCAGCTATGCGGGAGGTTCATGCATACTTAATACCCCACTAGACCCTCGTTAGCTGCAGTGCTTCCGCATACTTTCCTCATCATTATACACCTCCTTTTCCATCATAAAAAATGTCTCCATCCTTATACTGTCTCGGTCATGGCTCGACTGCGTTTTCTGCTTCAATGGCTCCAGGGTAGCCATAGAAGGATTAAGATGTGAGGTTTGCAAAGGAGATAAACACTGTGTGAGGAAAGAGATGAATTGTGAAACAACAGGGAAGCTGTGTACTTTATACAGGATACTTTGACAAGGAAACATTTCAGGAAGGATTCAGATGCAATGTTTAGTCCGGCAGTTACGTAATAACATAAAAATTTGCAACAGCAAGGTGTGTAAGTAAATGTGTTCTGTAAAAAGCATTAAGAAAAATCTGGATCATCATCTGGTTATTGGCACTCACAATGTATCTAATTGGAGAGTTCCTCCAATTTCTCATGTACAGTATTCTAGTTAACAAGTGGGTGAAAGCACACTCAGAGTAGTTATTCTGACCACTTGTGAAGTTGGTAATAATATTTTGGTTAACACTGGAACATTTTTTTTCATTCCTCAGGAATTAATGCATGAATTAGTTTTAATTCTATTTTCCCCCATGATAAATAATAATCAATAATTAATTAAGCATATCTACCAATGCATGAATCTCAATTTAGGTCTATGCTGAAGGTGGCTAACTAAGGTGTACAATTTAGTGGTAATCCTAACTGATATTGCTTCTGGATTGTTGTGTCATTCAAAATATTTGAGTGTTGCATTGTACTGCAAGTTGTGGACTTGATATATTTTTTTAAAATCATCCCAAAACTATGCTAAAGAATTACCTATTCATAAAAATGATTCCCATAAATCATGACAGCTAATTTTGCACTTGGGTCAAGTCCTGGAGGGTATGCACAGAGTGATGTGGGAATAAATCACAGTCAGGATGGGATCTTTCACTATGTTTCGTAACTCATGCAAATTATCTAAATATTGGACAAAGAAGCCTGATTGGTCTTTGGAAAAGCGTTAAACAGAGGTGGAACGGTGGTCGAATGCTGAGCACGTCCGCCTCACAGTACGGAGGTCCGGGATCCGATTCCGGGCTCTGGTCTGCCTGTGTGGAGTTTGCATGTTATGTTCGCCTGTGCGGGTTTTCTGCAGGTATTCCGGTTTTCTACCACATTCCAAAAACATGCACGATAGGTTAATTGAACACTCTAAATTGTCCCTATGTGTGAGTGTGAACGTGGAGGGTGTTCGTCTCTGTGTGCCCTGCAATTGGCTGGCAACCAGTTCATGGTGTCCCCCTCCGCCGACTGCCCGAAGACAGCTGGGATAGGCTCCAGCATGCCGGCGATAAGCGGCTCGGAAAACGGATGGAAGGATGGTTGAATTCAACGGAGCCCAAATTTCAAAGGCTGGTTACGTTTTAGAATTATCAATTAAAAGCTGTGTGTGTTTTTAATCCACTGCATGTTTGCACTGTGGTTGTGAGGAAAGAAATTTCATCTGTGCTGTACATTGTACAAAGAGCATATTTGACAATAAAGCTGACTTGGCTTGACTTGACTAAAAGATTAAGATGTTCACAAAACTATTGTGATACCATCCATCAATTTAACATTCTGTTGTACACGGTCAAGATAATAATGGGTTGTTTTTCCTTACAGTTCATTTTTGGAAGTTAGTGTGAATGCTTGTCTTTTATCACTTTTTGCATTTTCAGAAAAAGTATACACACTGTTCAACAAACAGTGAAATAAAAAAATAAAACAGATGACTGTAACAGCTAGAAAACCAGTTTCTGCTGCCTTCTGTTAAAGACGACATTTAAATTGATGAAGACTTGTTGAATTGATATGTGTTTACAAAAAAATGCAGGCACTCTGCTGTGACAGCCTGTCAAGGAAAAAACAAGCACACCCACAATCCAACACGCAACACACATACCGAGTGCAAATCAGCAGTGATGAGAAGTCACCAGCAGGAGTGAGAAGACACAACCTCAGAAGTCAGACTGTCTTTCTTTATCCCTAAGTCATGCATGTTACTTACATCTTGGTTACTCATATCCCAGTAAGGCCTTTCGCCGTATGACATCACCTCCCAGGTGACAATCCCATAGCTCCAAACATCTGAAGCTGACGTGAACTTCCGATAGGCGATTGCCTCTGGGGCTGTCCACCGCACTGGGATTTTACCACCCTGAGGGAGAGAGAGAGAGAGAGAGAGAGAGAGAGAGAGAGAGAGAGAGAGAGAATTAGGGATTTATGAAGAAAATACTAATGACACACCCTTGCTTCCACTTGTGCCAAGGCTTCAAGCTACCTGCACTAGAAAGAAAATACTCTTGTTGTTGAGCGAGATGGCAAAACTCTGAAAATGAAACAAATGCCATTTAATTTGTCGTACAACTGCGATCTTGAAAGCAGAACTGAATGCAAAGCAAATGTCTGATTTTATGCATCTGTTTGACTTTTCGAAGACAAGACTCAATCATTGCAATTTTGACTAGAGATGTTTTATTACACTGAATCCAGACAAAATAACACACCCATTGATTGTTTATCTAAAATTGACCTTTTTTGAAGGAAAAGGCCAATAAAAAAATACAACATCCTATCTGATGCCAAATACAGCATGTACAGTAATGTTGACTTTCAGATAGCTCATATAATGCTTTTGACTGCCTAATTCATTGCCAGATTTCAAGTGTCATTACACACAGCTCACTTCTCTAAAATCCAGTGGTACCTCTACTTATGAATGTCTCTTCTTACGAAATTTTCAAGTTACGAAATGTCTCAACAGGAAAATATTGCCTCTTGTTCCAAAACACATTTCAAGATACGAAAGGTAGGTGAGTTGCTGCACCGAGTTTCCTGAACGCAACATACAAACAGCTGCTCTGCTATTGGCTATTACCGATCACCACCCTGGCATCCCATTGGCGAAGAGGGACTTCTACCGTATGTGCCGATGTGTGTAGATAGATAGATATGTGTCTATGCAGCGTCCTCATCATTCGCCCCTCGGGTCATGAGGTGTTCTGATAGTTTTACGTAAATGTAAATCACCCAAAAATTTTTTTCACCAGTCGGGCGATCGCTCACTATGCTGATGTCTGCCTTGTACATTTTCGAATGATTGTTAAAAGCCGCCAAAAGCAAACGTCCTTGGATTAGTTCTTTACAAAATGCCAGGCAAAACCATTTCTCAGAGAGAACATGAACTAAAGAGGGCAAAAAACGATGATGACGCTGAATTTTTTGGGGGGGGTCTAAAAACGAATTAGGGCATTTACATGGAAAACACATCACTTACATTTTCTAGCTAAGAAATTTCTTCCAGAGCCAATTAATTTCGTAAGTAGAGGTACCACTGTACTGGCAACTGTGACAACAACTACATGTGAGTCCACCGTGTAACTGTGTTCTGTGTTGGGTATTATTTATGTTCACTATGCAGTTTATGGTTGACTATCCTAAAGGTAGAAAAGCGCCATACAGGTGAGGCTCATTTATCATTTAACTCCAAGACATTTCTAATTGGCTCATCTCACTTTTTCCTCAGTCATGATGGGAATCTCTTCTTTGGGATTTTGCAACAAAATATTCCCAAAGTCACCACTTGTGGTTGGTCACAATTTGGTCACTCATTTATCAAGACTAAAACTTACATGAGCTTCAGTGACATTTCAAGGATGGTGGGCAATACAGAGCACATCATTCAATCATGAATCTCGACTGTGTGTGTGCGTGTGCGTGTGCGTGTGTGTGTGTGTGTGTGTGTGTGTGTGTGTGTGTGTGTGTGCTCACCAGGGAGCTTGTATAGGTAGGATCAGAAGTATCTTCCTCCAGATAACGAGACAAGCCAAAGTCGGACACCTTACACACCAGGTTACTGTTAACCAGGATGTTGCGAGCAGCCAAGTCTCTGTGAACGTAACTCATCTCTGCCAGGTACCTGCAACCAACGTGATTTATTATCAGAACATGCATTATCTTGTGCCAGCTACTTGGGCCACCACAAACGTGTAATGGGATTTTATGTGCTTACGATTCCGTGTCATCTTTGCTTGAAATAGAAATGGGTTTTAAGGCTTTTGAACACGTACACATTGGATTTCGACCCAGCAGGCAGCTTAGGTGTGTTTATGTGAACGAACTATCTGACTGAGTACAGAGGAATACAGGGCAATACCATGGTTACAGTGTGTGTTTCTGTACACCCACAGAATGTTGGAGCTGCTCTTTAGAGGCTACTGATGTGTGTGGGGTTGAGCCCGACAAACGACCAGATTGCATCTGTGATCACCACATGAAATCTCATCTCAATGGAATTGCTTTGGTTACATGTAAATGTCATTTGACATAACTGAATCATTTTTTTTAAAAAACACCCTTTTTTTCATCTTGATGATGAATGGGTTTGTACAGAAGAAATGTGGGCGTGAGTATACCTCATTCCAGAAGCGATGCCTCTCAGCATACCAACCAGCTGGATCACTGGGAATTGCCCGTCATTTTGCTGCAAGAGCATGAAGCAAGAGAGGAGTCTTTTTCTTGTTGGTTATCAGACGCGTAACAAAAGGTCTCATGTCTAGCGAGTACATTCAACCCTTTCATGCACCCTGTAACCCGAGAACATGATAAGCTGTCCACTGCAGTAAGCGCTGTCCCTGAAATGGTTAAGCAAAAGTGAGCTGGTACAAGGCTAGAGACAAAAAAAAAAAATCATTTACACTCACATTCACATCTAGGGTCAATTTAGAGCAGGGGTCACCAATGTGGAGTGCACGGACACCAGGTTGCCCCCAAAGACCACATGAGTCTGTTCTAAAAATATATCACCAGTGAATTGACATTGTGATTTCTTCGCAATATTGTATAAGTGATCATTTGAATTGTAAACACTTGATGGACATTATAGAAATAGATTGCTGGATATTGATATTTATCTGTTTGACAGTTTTAGTGAGAAATGATTGACATGACCAATGTCTTCATATCTTCAATCAACAATAACAAGTGGTGTTCCGATTCGATTGTGATCGGCCAATTTCCGTGGAAAAGTACATCATTAGCATGTCACACAGACCCCTTCATTGCAGATCACATAAAACCGTTCACCTGCAGCTTTTTTAAAATTTTGTGCATGCAAATACTTGTTTTTCTACTTTCTTCCCTCCAAATTTTGCTGCTGTAAATTGTGAATTTCTCCATTGTTACACAAATAAAGGTTTTCTTATCTTACTTTGCAGCCTGTAGCCAACTAAAGACCAGCGTGTGTGCAGTGCAGTGTCTCCTCCCCCATTTCTTCACACGACACGGTTCAGACCAAACCAGTAACTGAATTACAATGTATGTTTGTGCATTTTCTGAGCTGTCGATTTTAAAGACTGTTCTGTTTATTTTTGTTTTTTTAATAATATGGAATAAGATGGAAATTTGCGTGGTAAAATCTGATTCATCATTTATTAAATAAAAAAAATAACAGAGTCATCGATTATTAAAATAACCATTAGTGAGCAGCTTTAATATTGAAAAACATGCAGAGAATCCATGTGATCGGTATCAGAATCTGTGTCGGCCAATCTGACACATGGATGATTGGTGTCGGAATTGGCAGCATAAACCCTGATCGGAACATCCCGAATAAAAACTAATAATAACATGATTAAAGGTAATTTGAGCAAATATGATATTTCGGAGGCCGCCCGGTGGTCCAGTGGTTAGCGTGTCGACCTCACAGTGCAGAGGTACTGGATTCAATTCCAGCTCCGGCCTCCCTGTGTGGAGTTTGCATGTTCTCCCTGTGCCTGCGTGGGTTTTCTCCGGGTACTCCGGTTTCCTCATACATGCTGATTGAACACTGTAAATTGTCCCAAGGTGTAAGTGTGAGCGCGAATGGTTGTTTCTTTCTGTGTGCCCTGCGATTGGCTGGTACCCGGTTCAGGGTGTCCCCGGCATACTACCCGAAGACAGCTGGGATCGGCTCCATCACCCCCTGCGACCCTAGTGAGGATAAAGCGGTTCGGAAAATGAATGAATGAATGTTATTTCGGAAGTGTGTATCCAAGTTTACAGGTTAAAAGGGAAGTGCCCAATGAAGGTTGATTACACCGGTAGAAAAAAAACAAAACTGCAATTTGAATTATTTTCAGAAGGAATTAATCATCTATAAATCATTTTCAGCATATTGTGTGTTTGGACAGGTCACTGACCCAAGTACCTCAGGCAAAATGCATGTACATGTATGCTTAAAACATGCATGACAACACCCTACCGACATATTTCATATTTTGTTCCACTTTATTGTTCTTGGAAGTAGTTTTGTTGACTATCCGGGATGAATAACTAATTCCTATCTTTGTCATGAATTTGCTGTGTATCACTGCAGGGGTGCGCAAACTCTCGGATTTTCTCCAAAAGATTTTCTCAAAAGTACAATGCCGAACCTCTGTTGGGTAGACAACAAAGTGATGGTGCAACTATGTTGCATATTTGAAGTTTGTGTATTTGAGTGTATGTCTTCCAATTCACTTTGTGTATCATGTTGCATCTTTGATCCTGTCTCACATGCATGCGCGCACCAATACACTCCCAAACGCACATGCACACAGGCACACACACTTTACAGTAGATAGATTTTGTTCACTCCAAAATGGTCAGATGACCACACCAACAGTGGTCTTGATCATTGTGTGTGTGTGTGTGTGTGTGTGTGTGTGTGTGTGTGTGTGTGTGTGTGTGTGTGTGCGTGCATGCGCGTCAGGAGATGAAACCTGAGTCAAAACAGGTCACACTGTGAGAAGTGGGCATCAAACAGTTTTTCCCTCTGTTTTGAGCAGTGCCTAGAAAGGGGATCAAACGGACGTACTGACGGACAGACGGCGTGCTGGCAGGACAGGGAGGAAAAAAAAACACAAGAGAAAAGGTAGTGGGAAAAAAAAGAGCAGGAGGTTGCTTCTTTCTTTTGTCTTTTTCTGGAAAAGCTGCTGAGCCCCTCCTTGCCCATCTGTTTCTCTATGGGGGTGTATTTCTTTGTGCCCATGTCAGTTCCACCCAGAAAATAAAGAAATTGCAATCAATTGTTCACTGAACTCATCCTACGATGCGGAAGGCTTTTTTTTTTTTTTTTTTAAAATAAATAGCAAATACAAATGACAAGGTGGATTCAAACTAAATCTGCTTGTGCACACAAAAGTGAAATCGTAGTTCTTTTAGTCACTAACAGTAGCATCAAGATGTCATTCCTTTTCATGCTGATGATAGCAAGAAAATGTTTTGTTATAATAACTTTAAATTTCTCAGGTTGTCTATGTTTAAGTGTGTTAGTACATACCGTACATGGAGTAACGGACACAATATTCATATTTTTATAGAGAATCTGATGAGGGCTTTGAAATCACATCCATTACACTGACTGTCATATACAATACAGTGAAGGATCTCGGACACTAATATCTGCACAGACCTGGCCCGTGACCTAATTTTATGTCACCTGCTAAGGCAAATCATCTTGACTTCACAATTCTTGCAAAACACTGAGGTACGAGATATTTCGGCATGTTTGCTGTTACCAGTCCCTCCTTTAACCCTTTCATTCACAAATAATGATAACCTGTAACCTGATAAAATGATAAGCTGTCTGCTGTCCGATGTCCCTGAAATGGTTAAAATAATTTGAATAGTTGAACAAAGAATTATTTACTGGTTTCTAATTTCAAAACCTTCAAATTGTTGTGTACAGTAATCCCTCGTTTATCGCGGTTAATGGGGACCAAAACCACCCGCGATAAACGAAAATCCGCGAAGTAGCGTCCAATTAACATAAACAGGTAAAAAAAAAGATTTTTTTTTTAAGTCCGCAAACGGTCCGCGAGAAGCTGCAAAACAACAGTGAGTCACATCGAGCAACATATACAGTACTGTACTCCATGTATATTTAAAAAAAAAAAAAAAAAAAAATTTACATGTTTGAAAAAATCTGTGATGCACTGAACCCGCGATAAACGAACCGCAAAGTAGCGAGGGATCACTGTATATGTGAAATTATAACGTTAACCATACATTTATATGGGTGCATGATGGCAATCAGAGGCAAACCATTGACACCCCTCGTGTACTTTCTTTTGAAACGCTTGACTGTCAAAGCCAGCAGCTGTTTGGCCCAGCTCGAGCAAAGCCATCCAATTTCTTGCTGCCACAAACAAACCAACGAATGAGTTGCCCCCAAAGGTGAAACCCAACACAGTTTGAAAAGCTTAATAAAGCTAAAGAGTTACCCCAGCAGCTAAAAGAGATGTTCAAAGTGCTGCCAAAGAACTTTAAAGGCGTTGTTAAACTGATGATAGACTCATCAAACTCAAGACCGGAAGTGTTAGCGACGGAGGTTCAGGAGACAACCTTGACAATATAAAAACTGCCAACAGCCAACGATACAACTCACTGCAGTCAGATGTGTTTCAGGTCTGTGACAGTCTGATGGCTGTAACAGACAAGATGGAATATCTAGTCCATCTAGGAGCAACTACCTGGTGATTGATGGAATGGAGTCACCGCATGAGACCTGGGTTATGACAGAAAAAAAACGTAAAAAAAAAAAAAATGGAGATGGCTCATGGAAAGTTGGATTACAAAGACTGTGATGCATCATGATTAAATTCGTGTGGTACAAAGACAGACTCTACAATTCTGTAATGCATCAAATCTCTAAAAATGCACCCAGATTTACATAGTGGGGACCTGACAGGAACTGTGAGGAGGAAGACGAAAGAACTAATCCCGGAACTAATGCTAAAATCTGCAGGAGAGAAAGGAGAGATTGCCTATCTCCAAGAAACAAATTGATCATTCATTCCCCTACGAGTGCACCAAATCCACCAAGACACTCATGAATAGGCTTGCATGATCTTGAAAAAAACAGACTATTCACTTAAGTCAAACGAGGAGCAACTAACTGTTTTCAGTTCCTTTGCATTGGCCATGATGCACAAATTGTTAAGTTGAGCATTGCTTGATGTGTATTATGAAAAAAACAATTGTGTCATTTCACACCACATTTTATGATCCAATGAAATATTTTTTTCTTTTCAGGTTAAAAAATTAGCAGACTCAATGTATTCTTAGCTAATTAATTGTAATGAGTGTGTACTGTACTGTACATATTTTTAAAGTCATGTAATGTTATTAATTCCCCTAGATATAGTTCTCCGATTGGAAGGCAATGCACATCTACAGTTGCATCTGATTGGTTAAAGTCAGATCAAAGCATCCAATTACATAATATTGCAGACCTTTTTGATACGCGTACTGCACAGACCATTATTGTCATGTTGATATTTTTTTCGATATATTGAGAAGCCCCTATACAGGATATAGAACTATACACGCACACATAAACACTTGCAGGACAAGAGCCCACAATAAAAATTGGTATTTGCAGAAAAACGTATCTATTCGCTGTTTTGGGGCTTGATATAAACAGATGGCAATGTGCAGTTCACATAACCTTGGTCGCTGTGGATTTATAACGAGTACTTTGAAAATTACAAGAGCGTCATATCATCTTATTATGTACTGGTGCTCAGGGTGTGTAACACATCAACCCTCCTAAAGAGTGCCAGTTTTTTTAACCAGAATTATTCCCCAAATTATCCAGGTTTGCCTTTGTTAATTCGCACAACTCATTACTTGCCTCCAATTGTGCTCATATTGTCATGGTACCACTGGTGAGAAAGGACACTGTATGTTTCTTTAATTATGCATATCCAGTCATTCTCTTCTAATTGTGGAACAATTTTTACATGATGGCCCATGCAAATAAATGACAAAAATTAGTTGCAACTCACTTTCACTAAAGGGAATTTTTGACTGTGTCAAATTTGTCTCTGGTGACGTTATTTCATACGTGGCCAAGCACTTATGGTGGACTAAGACAATAGTTTTTGTCTAATTGACAAAAGTGCTTCATTGTCTGGTAGCATCGACCAATTTTCACAATTTACGGAAAAGCTCTGGCCCAATCTCCCTTAAATAGCGGGGGTTCACTGTCTGTGTCAGGTATTTCACGATTTTTCCTGATGCTTTAGCAATGTTCGTACGTTCACAACAAATGTGTGCATGACGCAAAGAAATAATCATTTTGTGAAACTTACCCTGAGAAATGAGTCAAGAGCTCCATTTTCCATGAATTCTGTGATAATCATCGTTGGCCTGCTCTTGGTCACCACGCCTTCCAACCGAATAATATTTGGTTGGTCAAATTGGCCCATGATTGATGCCTCAGACAAAAAGTCCCGCCGCTGCCTCTCAGTGTAGCCCACTTTCAGAGTCTTGATGGCAACGGGAATTTCTCTTTTCCCCACAGGTTTTAGTCGGCCTTTGTACACCTCTCCAAACTCGCCTGGAAGAGAATACATGATGTGGCTCAAAATCCAAACTTTTCCACAGAGAGAAATCAACATGCTTGAAGCGAAAATAGATGGATTCTAACCACTGCTGAGTTCTGCATTGTGGCTCAAGTCATAAAAGAGGGAACTTTTCTCTCTGAATCACATATACTTGAGGGCTGCTATGACATGAAATGCCATATTTCTTTTTTAGGTCAGGGGCTAGTGTGAACATGTGCAATGGTGGCTACAAGTGTGTTAACAAATCACCCACCGCACCCGAGACAAATTTGATGGTCAAAAATTCCCTTTAGAGAAAGTGAGGTGCAACTAATTTTTTTCATTTATTTGCATGGGCCATAATGTAAAAATTGTGGGAGGAAACCGGAGTACCCGGAGAAAAACCACGCAAGCACAAGGAGCTGGAATCGAAGCCTGCCAGTTAGCTGAAGAATGTATTTTAAAATTCTGTTACTGGTCTATAAATCACTGAATGGTTTGGGTCCTGAGTACATTAACAAAATGCAAATTGAAAATAATGATACTCGATCATAATAATGATCATCATAATGATACAAACCATTTATTTCGACGAGGGTTGCGGGAGCGCTGGAGCCTATGCCAGCTATCTTCGGGCAGTAGGCAGGGGACACCCTGAACCGTTTGCCAGCCAATTGGAGGGCACACAGAGATGAACCCACCATTCGCGCTCACACTCACACATACGGACAATTTAGAGTGTTCAATCAGCCTGCCATGCATGTTTTTGGAATGTGGGAGGAAACTGGAGTAGCTGGAGAAAACCCACGCAGGTACGGGATTAATATGCAAACTCCACACAGGAAGGCCGGAGCTGGAAACGTACTCGGTACCTCTGCACTCTGAGGTCGATGAGCTCACCACTCGGCCACCGGGCCGCCCTTGTTCATTCTGTTTTTGACGTAAATAAAATGTTTTTTGCCCTTCGCATTAGTCAAAAAATAAAATAAAATACAATACACAAATACGATTCTTTTGTGAATGGATGGTTGAGGGCGCGGAGGCGCAACTTTTGCCTCTCAGTTCCAAGGCAATAATTTCTATTATATTTTATATTTTTTATAATATTTTATAATATTCTCAGAATATTTTCCGCCTTTGAGACATCTGACAAGGCTAAAAATAGATTAGCTCTTGGGCTCAAATTGTAGACTACGGCAGCAAAGAATAACTCAGGAGTGAAGGAGATTGTTTTTGCTGGAATGTCTTTTTTTTGCGCAGCTGATCAATTATGTCATTTATAGATCAGGTAAATTAGGACATTAGATATGTGATTAAGCATAAAATGCTGTCGACCGATTTTGACCAGCTCATTCAGATCAGTGTAAAATCTACTCGTTAGATGATGGAGGTCTACTTCATGAATATATTGTGTAACATGTACACAACACATCCGTCCATCCATTTTATCGTGCTTTTGTCCTGGGCTGAGATGGAGCTTGTCCAAAAGAAGCGAGAATATGAAGTTGTTTTTTTTCTCCTCAGGGTGTGTTCTTCTTTTATCTTCCATCCACTATCAATTGTTCAGCTTTCCCTGACCCATGCTTCTCTTATTTTAGCATTTGTCAAAAGGTTGAATACTTCTGAGAGGCTGCAACACTGAGAGAGATGAGGAAACATGTGAATGGAGTACTGTATACAGTATATATACAAAAAAAACAAACAAACAAACAAAAAGAAAAAAACCCAAGGTAAGCAATGTCTATTGTTAAATCATCCCTGCTTCTGTTTTTCTTTGCTGTCTTCAAGGGTTCCGTTGCTGCAATCTCTGGCTGAGGTAAGAAACTTTGCCCCGAGAGAAATACGAAATACTAAAATGTTTTACTGTTATTCAAAGTCGCTCAACTAACCAAAGGACATCCCTTCAAGGGGTTAAGTTCTAGATGTGTTTCATGGCTTCCAGCAGCCAAAAAGGAATTTTGTAGATTCACTTTTGGTCCAGCAGCATCGGGGTATACAGAGTACTGTATACATTTGCAGAGAGGGAAAAAAAAAACGGCCGCTAGTTAGCCTTGAGTTGGAGTCAGTTTAAGGCAGTAAACCACTCTCTTAGTTTGTGTTCAAATAAGAAAGGTTTTTCAAAAGCAATCGAAATATCAGATGTAAGTCTTATCATATGCATTTATAATCCAAGTGATATGCCGTAGAAACAAAAAATAGGTTTTCTAAAGTGAAATGATTGATTTGACAAATATTTCTACGCTGCACAAGACTTCTCTCTGTCATCTTCACCATCTGAAAGTCACACAAGCACAAAGCATTAACCTTGAGATTCATTTGTTCAATACTCCAATTGATGGTTCACTCTCACACTAGTGCAGTGGTTCTTAACCTTGTTAGAGGTACCGAACCCAACCAGTTCATATGCACATTCACCGAACCCTTCATTACTGAAAAATAAAAATGATTTTTGACAAATTCAAGACATAAAAAAATGCATTTTTTAAAAATGGAAAAAAAAGTAAATTACAATTACTATAAGTATAAAGTATACATTTTTTAAAATTGTGCACAAAATGAACCAGCCAGTTATGGCCAAGCGAGCGTGTCATCACTAATTGACACGTTGAGTCAGGTGTGTCTTATCCTCCATGGCAGAGGCTCTGTTGAACCCCTGAGACTGATTCACCGAACCTCTAGGGTTCGATCGAACCCAGGTTAAGAACCACTGCACTAGTGTTATTATTATTATTATTATTATTATTATTATTATTATTATTATTATTATTAATGTTATCATGTAAAACTTATTTTTAAGTATTTTGCAGACACTTTGTGAACACGAATTATGAGCTCAGCAGAAATGAAAAATAGGATAATATCCGTGTCAACAGTACATCTGACAATACAGAAGATGAGGGTGTATGATGGTGTAGCATGAGGAGGTTCCCTTAAATTGGAGTTATACTATATATCCGCATTACCATTCCATAGATGGGGCATATTCTAGGAAACTGACTTTAATTGCTTGTATACAAATACGTAGTTAGTTATCTAAAGTGCCCGTCCACCTTTGTCAAGTGTGAAATTAAACAACCAAGTAAATCATATCTGCCTTTTTCTGAAAATGAGGAAGTGTTTCTAAATGTTGCTAAATTCTAGCATCAGAATTCTGTGCTGCAAATCGGCCAGTGTTCAAAGTTTGGGGACAGTCTTAAAAACAGTTGCATTAACACCACTCAGGAATAAAATATCCTTTTTAGTCTAGATTCTACGGAAGCATGGAGCTGCTATTGTGGAGTAAAAATATTTCGACTTGCATATATGTTCGAACGTACTTGCAAGTACATTGGAATGCCCTTGCAAGGACATTCAAACATACTCTCAAATATGTAATGTAAATCATGCACTGCAGCCGTAATGAAACCATAAATTAACAATTTTTACTTAATTTTCAAACATACTGGTATTAGTATAATTAGAAAAGATTTAAGGTTTTTTTTTTTTACCATAGTGACACGGAGTATGCACACGCGGAAGTCAAAAGCCTGTGGCATTGTGGGAAAAACATGCAAAACATACATCATGTACTGCAGACATAATAAATCCATAAAATTATAAATGAACAATGTTTACATTTTTAATTTTTGAATGTAATGGTATAATGTTGATCAAATGCTAAAAATGAACAAAACAAAAAAACATTTTTTGACTCGCACATGTGCAAGTCAATACCACGTTTGTAAAATGCCACCTTTGTAGCATTTGCGAGGATGTTCGAACGTATTTGCGGGTAAGTTTGGATGTACTTACAAGTACGTTCGAAAGTACTTGCGAGTTCGATCTAATGCATTTAAAAAGTTCGAACGTAAACGGAAGTACAGTACATTTGAATGTATTTGCCATTCAAAATATTTTTTCTAAACAGTTTTCTTCCGCATCATTTTCCTCCTTGCTCTCAAGATGGACTCAAAATTCCCTCGGAAAGACAAAACTTTCACATGATGGTATTTGATGAAAAAAAATTGACTCATCATTTGGTGTGTACTTGAGTTTTCTATTTAATATTTTTGAAATCAGATAGGTCCATAATTGTATTTTGTGTGACATCACGTGGTCACATAGGCTACACGGCCAATCGGGTTAACATGTATTTAACATGCTTTGGTTGAAGCAGGTTTATGTACGCATTGGTGATCCTCAGGGGTCAATTTGACCCCAAGCTATTTTAGCTGCAATTAAACATGTCTGTGTGTGTGTGACCGAACATCCCCACACCTGCAGGTGCAGAATTGATACTTTTGATACATTACAGTGGGTGGGGAAAAGAACTAATTCTGAGAGAACTTTGACAGTGGACGACTCGGTGGGCGAGTGGTTCGCGCATCAAGCTCAGAGCGCAGAGGTCTTGGGTTCGATCCCGTCTCCGGCCTTCCTGTTTGGAGTTTGCATGTTCTCTCCGTGCATGCATAGGTTTTCTCCGGGTACTCCGGTTTCCTCCCACGTTGGAAAAACATGCATAGCAGGCTGATTGAACACTCTAAATTTTCCCTCGTAACTCACACCGAGGGAAAATTGGCGACCGGTTCAGGGTGTCCCCCGCCTACTGCCCGAAGACGGCTGGGATATGCTCCAGCACCCTCTGCCATTATTGTGAGGAGAAGCAGATCAGAAAATGGATGGCTGTAACTTTGACAGTTTCCCACAAGGACAATAGTTGTTCATGCAAAATAAGGGAGAAGCAACCAAGCTTGCACAACAGTCCTCCACCTGAATCATTCCACATTGTGCTCTGTGCATACTGCAATCTGCATGCTCTCTCACTTGAAAATGTCCTCTGGGAAAAAGGTTTAGTGTCCATGAGGATGTGGAACAGCTCTTTGCTAGTGAAAGTGATTATATAGGCGAATGAGGACCCTGATTTTGAAGCAATCTCACCTGATGAGTGAAAATATTGACCCTCCTGTTGTCTCTCAACCATCAGAAAACACGATCCTTTTCCAAAAATGGAAAGATAATATGATAACAATCCAGACCCTCACGTGACTGTTAATGAGTGCTAGGTTGCATTTGGTGAACTGTGTCCATTTCGACCATAGATGCCAAGAAAGCCTGCCTATATGGCACCAAAATATGGAAGGAGAACTTTTCTGGAGCAGCTGGGAAATGCACCGGTGTAACCTCATATTTTGAGAAGACGCTGCCTTAAAAGAGCATCAATAGCTGCTTCATCGATTTGTGAGGGCTATACAGAGATAAACACCCCAACTCCTCCGTTGCTACAAAAACATGGCCAGTGTCTCTCTCACACACACACACACACACACACACACACACACACACACACAAACAGAATTTCCCCAAACCCACCCAAAAAAATGTCTGCCATTGCCGGTCGCAAGCCCGGATAACTAAAGAGGAAGGGCGAGTGAGACTTTATGAGTGAGACAAATATGAGACAAAAAAAGGAGATAAAAATCATTAATTATAAATATTCATGAGGGCAGAGGGAAGGGTGAGGAAAAGCGTTTACCAACATTATCTCAATATGTTGGGAATATATCACATCAATATATGGTTCATTCGCTATGAGTCATGCTGCACACCCCAAATTAGAAAAGATTGAGATGAATGTTTAAGACCGTAACTCTAAAACTGAAAATTTGACCTGATGGTGGCATGACAGGAAAGATCATTTCATCAGCAAAAATAATAGATTTCATCCTCTTGTGGCTATTCATACTGCCAGAAAACTTCAGAAGAGTTGTATGAAAACCTTTTAAGATACATTAATTATAATTTAAAAGTTTGACCCGATGGTGGCGGGGGAGGACAGGTCAACTCACTGATAAGGTTTATGATCAAGGGGGTATTTAAGTAGTCAACAAATAAACAAAGTGCCTGACACAAAAACTGGGTAAAAAAATTAAAGTCCATCATTTTTTTAGAGCCAAATGTCCCTGGGGTCAAATTGACCCCAAGGGTAAAATGTGCCAGTACTACTTGAGGATAATCGGAGGGATAAGGGACCTGTAAACTGTTTTAAATTGTTTTAAAAATATGTATAATAGCTGAATATAGTTCCCTGAAAGGATTTAGGTTTTTATTTGAATTGTTTGACTTTCTCTTTTTTTTTTTTTTTTTTATCTGTTTGTTTGAAGTTTCACTTTGTACTTATGATAGCTCAAATGCAAAACTACAATTTTGTGCAACACATCAAACACAATTTTACACGTACATTGCAAGCATTGACACAACTTATTATCCTTAGGTGGATGTCTCAGCATAAATGAAAGCAAATCTCTCTCAGCTTCAAAGCACACGAAAATAATTGGAATTGCTTGTTCCCGCCTCATGCTCACTGACATGTAAAATTGGTTTATTTCGTCTACTGTTATCTGCCGTTTCAAGTGACGGGCTGTCTCTTGGAAGGTGCAACAAGCATTGCCAGTGTGTCTTTTGAAAGCATTGGGAAGAATATATAGTGGAACCTTAAAATGACGATTATTAGTGACAAATGAAGACTTTGCAATAAAAGTCACCTAGACAAACTTTTCGGGGAATTTATTGAAAAACTTAGTGACCGTCTCCATAATTACTGGCTGGCAAATCCTTTTCATCCTACATTTAATTGAATACACAACAAAAACAACATGTTAAAAGAACTTGAAGTAAGTTTTCATATAGTTTCTAATCCACTTATCCTCACAAGGGTCACGAGAGTGCTGAGCCTATCCCAGCTAGCTTGGGGCAGTAGGCGGGGCATACCCTGAATTGGTTGCCAGCCAGTTGCAGGGTACAATGCAATACAATACAATACATCCTGATTTATATAGCGCTTTCACAACAGCTCAAGCTGTAACAAAGCGCTTAACAAAACAGTTAGCATAAAGAGATGGTACACAGAGACGAACAACCATGCACGCTCACGCTCACACCTAGGGACAATGTAGACCAGGGGTGTCAAACTCATTTCACATGGTGGGCCACATACGGCCTCGGTAGATGTCAAGTGGGCCGGACCATTAAAATGATACAATACTTTGCTATAAATAACCAAAACAATCTGTCTTTCCTTTGTTTTGGTATAAAGAAGCACAAGAACATTAGGAAAATGTTGAAATTTAATGAACATATCTTTTACAAAACATTTCATGAAGCACCTTACTTTTCCTTCGACAAATGTGCAATTTACTTTTATCATTCACGTATATGCATTGCAACTGATCCCACTGATTGTACAAACTTTAACAAGTAAAGGGTATTGAAAAATATAGTAATGCACTTTAAGATTAAACAAGATTCATAAAGAAAGCAAGTTTTAAAGCATTTACACGTGCATATAAAATCTAAATGTAATCCCTGCCTACACCTTACAAACTAAGGAGAGTGCTATTAAATGTGTAAATGTGAGAGTGCTATTGATAGCGTCTGCTGTCATGGGTCTGTCTCAGTGACAGACTGAGGCTGCTGTTGTCTTCTTCTCTGATCAAAACAGTGTCCCCTTGCGGATACTCAATGAATTGCACCTGATTAAAAATATTAATTCTGTGTCTTTAATGCATTTTTTTTCACTTTTACATTATCCTGCGGGCCTGATTGAACCTACTTGCGGGCCGGTTCCGGCCCGCGGGCCGTATGTTTGACACCCCTGATGTAGACTGTTCCATTAACCTGCCATGCATGCTTTTCGACTGTGGGAGGAAACCAGAGTACCCGGGGGAAACCCACGCAGGCACGGGAAGAACATGCAAACTCTACTACACAGGAAGGCTGGAGCTGAAATCGAACCTTGCACTGTGAGGCTGACGCGCTAACTAGTCGATCACCGTGCCAAAAGTAAGTGCCAAAAGTAAGTTTTCAACATTCATAAAATATTTCCATGACGCTTCGGATGAAACATCAACTTACAACTAGTTTAATGGTACCTTTGTCATGGCCTGATTGGGTCCGAATGGCTTTTGCTGGCCCTTTGAGGATGGTGACACAAAGCCTGCCACACAAAAAAAAAAAACCCTCCCAATTTGCTGACTACTTTCCAGGATACCTCCCCCATTCGTTACAAAGACCAAAGTTGTATCGAATTAACGCTGTAAAGGCTGAAGCTGCAAAACAACCAAAGAAAGATAAAAGTTTTGTCTGAAGGGGCCCAAAAATATATATTTATTAAAAGGATAAATATAAATTCAAGAATCAATATTGGTCCGGCTTTCACTTGCTGGTGTGAGCTCAAAGACGAGGAGGGATTTCCGACCGATGCTCCCTTTGCGCTGTTCCTGCAAGACTGGTAAGTAGCTTTTGATGCTCAAATCAAAAAGAGAATTCTATGTTAGCTGTTGGAAATTTGTGTGGTAGCGATAGCCAACAGCTTGATAGTTAGGCGGTTCCACACTAGGGATAAAATGGCAATATCACGACATAAAATTGTCATTGATGTCATGTCACGATATGAACAGCACCGCATCTGTTAAATGGGCCAGGTTATTTTCCATTTGTGCACTTGTCGCACAATCTGGTGGTTTGTTTATGAGTGCAGCTTAATTTGAATTGAGAATCTTCTGGCTGTTTAAGACCCACGCTCATCGCCAAATGAAGGGGAACGCAACACATGTCAGTTGCTCCACAAATTGACTCTATTCGCAAGCTGTGTGTACATTCGTGCCTAAATATTAAGTGTTATTAGTGTTATCAGCTGAACACAGCATTGTGAACTACATAGAAGACCATGATACTTTGTGTCGCTGAGCCAAGAGGAGCAATTGACAATGAAATGACTGGCCAATCCTATTTCTTTGTCACTGCTGTTAGCTACAAAAACACAATATTATGCTTTTTTTTTCCAAAATGATTTAAAAGAAAATATTGTGATAATTATCATATTGTGATGCTTGGACATCATTACATCGCTATTCCACACAACCAGCCATGCAATAAACTTAAAAGTACTGTAGAAAGAAAAAAAAAATGTGATGCGTGCAAACCATAAATATAAAGTTTTAGTTAAGCCAAGATGAATTCCAAATGACAAAAAGCCCCTTAGTAACTCCAAACTTACTGCGACAACAGACTTGCATTGTCATTTTAGCAGTAAATGTAAGATATTCAGAATTATTCATATCGAGTCCTAACCACAGAATTATAACAGTAGAGTAAACAATACAATGTGAAGAATTTTTGATTGGTAGTACTTTCCCTGGGAGACTTAAAAACAATAACGTTTATCAGTTTTATTATCGATAATAAATAATATGATCATAGAATCTCGAAACAAACAAGATTATTGCACGGTACTACGTCCTGAATACTTGTCTGCCAGAGATGATTGACACAATCGTCAATGATGCCAGAATATAAGAAATGCTCACCTGAACCAATGACTTCCTCAATTTTGACACATGAGGGATCAATTTCCTTGGCAAACTCTCGGACAGCCTCATTGGGGTCTTCGTAGGTGAAAGGGTCGATGTAGATCTTGACCCCAGGTGAACTGTGACCATCAGACAGGGTGGGGAATGTCACTGTGGGGGTGGGACCACTAAAAATATCACTTCTCAGCGTCACCTCTGAAAAAGGAGAGAGGATAAGCACAGCTTTATACTTTGGAAATACACTACACATTGTCTGTAAAATTGTCTGTACCTCTAGGATAAAGACAAATCCACAACTGTCTGTAAAGTTCCCTATAATACAATATATCTTTACCCTAAATGATACTATTGGATGTTCGGTAGATCAGAACACATGAGGTCTATATTCCTCTGAGTGAGTGTGTGTGTGTGTGTGTGTGTGTGTGTGTGTGTGTGTGTGTGTGTGTGTGTGTGTGTGTGTATACCCTGTATATATTTTTTGATATTCTGATATCTTACTGAAAATCCTATTGAATAACCGGGCATTCAGATGAAAACAACTCCCAAATGCTTGTTTTTAAACTAAGGCCACTCGCAGTTTTCAAATACTCAAGTCTGTGCTCTAGCTCGTAGAAGCAAGCAGCCGGGAAAGAGATTTGGCCCACTCGTTGTCAATCTAATGGTCCACTGTTGGCCCAGCAAACAGTGACATTCCCCCTCGTGGTCGAAACTAAAGGTTGCAGGTAGGACTTTGACTAGTCTCAAATACAGCAGAAAGTAAATGGCTAGGACTGCATCTGTCTAGGGGTCTTCTCAATAATTTTAGATGAGATTAAAATATAGATTAGGGTCTGTAATTAATTAATCGCAGATTTTTTTTAATCGCATGACAGCACTATCAAAAATATATAAAATATGTTGGCAGTTTCAGATTGTAAAAAAGTATATAATATGTCTCTTTAAATATTTTGTTACATAAACGTTTGAGACAATCACGACACTCAAAAGATGATGGTAACTCTCAAGAAGACTTGTGGACCTGCGTACAGATATTTCAGACAATTCCTCTCCTACAGCTATTGATGGGATTTAGAGAAGGACTCTTCAGAATAGTCCAGTGTTTGCTTTTTAGCTATTCTTGGATGATTTGAGCAATGTGTTTTGGGCATTTGGAGGACCCATGCCTGGAAAGCAATTGTTAGGGCGGGAGCAGCGACCGCTGCAAGGTGCCTATTGTGTGTGTGTGTGTAGAAATCTTCTTTTTCTTCTTCTCCTCATTTACAATTATTCATCCATCCATTATCTGAACTGCTTAGGCTCACAAGGTTCACGGGCGGGCTGAAGTCTGTCCCAGGTGTCACACGATAAAAGATAGCACTGTTTTTGTGGGGTCCTGCATGCATGATTGGTCACTTTTTGTGTTGCTGTTTAAGTGCTGCTTAAGTTTAAGGTTGACGATTTATTACTTTTTAATCCCGTCTCATCTCTTTTAGACACATTCCAAAAATCTATTCAAAACACTGGAACTGATAATAACTACAAAGGGGAGAAGGGCTCCATGTCATCTTCTGTTTGTAGTTCCTATGGATGTAAGGCCTAATTTCCAAATACTGTGTATTTAACATAAACAATTGTTTATACCTCCCCCTGCATTGTACTGCTGCAGCTTATCACCATAAACACTCTCTTTCAACTGCCTTCTCCTGCAGGGGAAAAAAAAGCACATTTTGTAAGACAAGAAGGTAGATAAAACAGCTATACATACAAATGCAAAGGCAGGCTAATTAGTTGGGCTTTTGTTATCTGCAGTTGACTCAATGTCACATTGTGGGACATAAAAAAAATATATCAACAAGGAATGTAGGAATGTATTTGACGTCACTGTTGTGTTTTGCTGACTTTCATCTGGGGCTAGAGCTGAGGGAAATAAAAAACCTGATCTTTGCACTGAAACCTTGCAGGAGACGGCACACAGCCAAATGCTTCAACATACTCAAAAAAAAAAAAAAAAAAAAAAAACTACAATTTTTTTTTAAAGAACTGTGAAGAAAAACCTGTGAACCTGTATCTATCTTATAGTTAAAAAAAAAAAAAACTTGACCAGAGGCACTCATTTTACCAGTCAACACATAATTAACAGGACATATCTATCACAGCAGGACACATGAAGAAGTCTCAAGGACCCACGACTGACATTAAACTGAAAGTCAACCATTTCAGTTTGAAGGGGACAATTTGGGCTGATACTTTTAACAAAACCACCAACTGAAAAGTATGTATGACAAACTAAATCACCATCCAACTGTCAATTCATTCTTTTCTCGTATGTCCAACTTCACTTAGACTCAGTGTCCCTTGCCTCACCGGGACATGGGCGAAGTGCTGCCGGAGGTGCAAGTTGAAACTCTTTCTGACAAATGTTCACAGTAAACCTTCATAATACATTTGGGTCCGTCAGGTTGGACCCGCATCTTTCCACACCATCGGAGCTTAACGCACCACCAGGAGGTGATCAGTTGAGAGCTCAGCTCCTCTCTTCACCCAAGTCTCCAAAACTGAGGCCACAAGTCCGATGACACCACCAAGTCAATCATCGTACTGCAGCCGAGGGTGTTCTTAGTGCCAAGTGCACAGAAGGATACATGTTTGAACATGGTGTTCGTAATAGACAATCCGTGACGAGCACAGAAGTCCAGTAACAACACCGCTAGGGTTCAGATCAGGGAGTGGGGGGTGGGGCATACCTCCCAATCATGCCCTTCCAAGTCTCATTATTATTTTTCACGTTCAAGTGTGGGTACTCTGAGCTGCTATTTGGTGTAGATGCACAAAGAACAGTCAGGAACCATCCCCCATCCCAAGGCGGAGAGAGCCTCTCGTCCACTGGGGTTAACCCCGATGTGCAGGCGCCAAGCCGGAGGGCAATAAGTATACCCACAGATGCTCTGCGCCTTTCATCGTTGGCAACACCAGAGTGGAAGAGAGTCCAACTCCTCTGGAGAGGACGGGTCCCAGAGACCAAGCTGTGTGTGGAGGTTAGTCCGACAATGTCTCATCGGAGCGTCTCTCGCTCACACAACAGTTTGGATTCTTTCCCTGCCAGAGAAGTGACACTCCATGTCCAGAGAGTTATGTGCTTCTTTATCTGGCAATCCGGCAAGATCTCAGTTCACAGGGCACCCGACTGACCTCCCATAGGTGGTCAGCCCATGGGAAGGGTGAACCACATGGCCTTTACTGACTGTGCTTGGCTGGGCCCCATGGGTGCACGCAGCAGGCACTCGCCAGCGAGCCCATCTTCCAGGCCTGGCTCCATGGGTGAAGGGGCGGGGGGGGTGACCCGTGTCTGAGCAAGGCATAATTAAATCCAAAATGTTCATTTATCAGAAGGGGTCTGGCTAAGCAAGTTGTAAATTGCAAAACTTATCAGCCTAATCAATGTAGTGTGAGCAGAATAAGGCGGCCAATCAATGATAGGATTCATCATGAAAAAGGGGCTGGAAGTCTATGTGGATCACTACCTGTAGTTTGAGCTGCCATTATCAAAGATTCCCTTACAAGTCCTAATTACATTTAATGAATTTGAAATTCCTCTTTAATGAGGTAAAATTGACTTTTCCACTGGCATGCATGCAGAGTATGCGGTGCATTCGTGTGCATGGGTGTATCACCTGGTACAAATGATGGCGATGGCAACCAGAGAAACAATACAAACTCCGCCTACTAAGGAGCCTGCAATCAACGAGAGCTGCTGTCCAAGCTCTGATTTGAACTCATCTGCAAAAACATACAAATATTGTTCATTAAAGTGCACTCTAGATGAATTGTTGAAACCCCTAAAATAAGACAAAAATAAATAATTTTGATGCCTGACTAACTGCAGTGTGAACGATATGTTAAATGTGCTTCAAAAGCCCACATACACGTCAGGTAGATTGAAACATTTCCAGAGAGATTTCCAAACGAGTTGAACATCACATATCGCTTGATTGTGCATGTAACTCCCACTCCTCCACACACACCTCCACAGCACTCTCGCAGTGCACCCACACACTTACCGTCAGTGAGTGTTTGGAAGAGCATCTCTTTGCTGTAGGCTCCGTAGCCAGCCACAGTGCGGGCCCTCACCTGGACCACATAGCCGGTGCCTGGCCTCAGCCCCTCCAGAATCACACTGGGTGTCTCGCTCTGAACTACTGAACTATTAAATTCTGAAGGGTGAGACTGTGGGGAAAGAATAGAGAGAGAAGATGTCAGAGAAAGAATACTGACCCTCAACTGAACTTTCCACATCATCAAAAACTATGGTGACCTTCATCTAACGTTCTTTTTGTTGAATTACACTTTAGCTATGTCATGGAATGGAACATATCTCCAAAGAGCAGGACTCGGTGTGACAAATTGGTAAATGGTAGTTTTACTGTGAGTCACACATGAACCCAACTTGCCAGCACACCAGACAGCTACAGCTGATAACTTGGATTTAAATGACAATCCCTCTCGCTGCACAGAGAATTTCTGCTTCATCCTTTGGAAACTGGTTTATGTAATATTAATTTATTCAAGTAGCTCTGTATCGACATCAATTCACTCAGATGAGCAAGTAGTAGAATTGTACCTGATTTGCATGCAATGTATACATATATATATATATATATATATATATATAGAGAGAGAGAGAGAGAGAGAGAGAGAGAGAGAGAGAGAGAGAGAGAGAGAGAGAGAGAGAGAGAG